GGGATACACGGATTTAGACTGACAGGGAGGGAATGTTATTGAGAAGTCGGAAATTGCGGGAAATAGTTACTTTCATAATGAATCATAGTATTTATTGGTTTCATTTTACAATTCTTATTAGGGAACATATATATCTACTTCTTAATTCTCCGTAAATAAAGCCTACCGGAAATATAAGACTTCGTTTAACAGTGAAGGAAACGAATCCAGGACTCGAAGCTCTCTATCTTGACTGAGGTGTTTTTTGGTTTTCTGTTGGGCGAAATGCCAGAATAATGCCCCAAATTAATACGCTATACCTTCCAGTCGCATAGGCCGCGCCATAGCTCGAGCGGTTAGTCGCTAGATTCCGACCGTAGCGGCACGGGTTCGAGCCCGGGTCTGGTCAAGTGGGATTTGTGGTGGAGAAAGTGGCGCTCGGGCGAGTTTTCTCCGAGTACTTCGGTTTCCCCTGCCAATCTTCATTCCATCAAATTCTCCATCATCATAATCACCCGGGGCAGGTACAATAGGCCAATCAGTGGCCGACGTATCAACTGGACTCAGTCTCACCCCATCCCAAAGAACTAACTGAAACTAAACTACAGGAAGGTATTCAGTGTTAATACTTGAAATGCTTCTCAAAGTTTTGCTTAAACTTTCAAGATATGTATTTTGACTATTTCCAACTCTAGATAAGGTTTACAAAGAACTTCCTTCTATTGGTCCAACTTTAAACATCACAGAGTTTCGTGGAAACACTGAAATACCAGTTTCACTTAATACATACGCGATGACCTTGAAATCTCTGGAGAGTCAACTTGATATTACAAGCTTAGGTTCCGTGTAGAAGCAATAAGTAAGCAGAGATCGCGGCTGGAATTCTGACTGAAGTTTGGCTAGTTTTCATTTTGGATTTCTTATTCCGAAAATCACATGCAATAACATGTATGCATTCTGTGGGGAAAATGCAGAGTTCTAGTGTTAAAGTAGATGGTTAGAAAAAAAAAATGTGATTTAAATTAAAGGTTTCTAATGCGAAGAATGGAAACTACTGTAAAGCAATATATATCTGAGTCACACTAGAGGGTGTTGTCAAGCCGTTCTATAATAAGTAACCAGTGTGACGGACCGGAGTGAATAAAGTTAAACTTACTGAAAGGTTTTCATCATGCATATACAGTGTATTTCTCGCAGTGGCCAGTTTTGCTTTCAGACCTGAGGGAAACAACACAAACTGATTTTTACTCGACTTCATGCTGTGTTTTTTTTCCTGGAAGGAAGGCGCCTTTCTTCGCCTCCATTATTGACGTACACACTTGCTAAGAGACAAGACACAACTCAGCAATATCCAGCCCTGAGGTTTACGTCACGTATGCGAGATAAGTCTCCGCCATCTTGACACGCACCCCGAAGTGCGCAGCAGACATTGAGAGCAGTGACGCACGTGTAACAGCTCACTTACGCAATTCTGTTTCTCGTTTGTTGTGAAGAAACTGATGGAAGAGTAAGCCATCGATAAATTGCTAGAGAGGATTCTGCAGTAACTGAAAATATTAGAAATAAAAACATAATTAACTGAATTTCCTGTCTTCCTTCCAAAACTCTTGTTACATACCCGTATGTTCATTTTATGTTCGATGAGAATATAATTTTGATTTAATACTGACCAGGGATGATAGTACTATAAGTGCGTTAGACGATGGTAACATTTCACTTACTTACTTACTAATGGAACTGAGCCCATCTTGAGGAGAAGCCAAATCTACAGCTACTCAAGAATTTCCCAGCATTTTATGGAACCCGAAGGTTTATTGCCGTGTCCACAAGAGCCCTCCACTAGTCTCTATAATAAGCCAGATCAACTCAATCCATATCATCCAATCCTCTCTCTCTATGATCCATTTTAATACTGTCCACCCACCTACGCCTTAGTCCTCCCAGTGGTCTCCTTCCTTCTGGCATTCCCAACAATATCCTATATGCATTCCTCTTCTCCATTCGTGCTACATGCCATACCCACCTCATCCTCGTTGACTTGTTCATTCAAATTATACTTGAAGAAGGGTACAAGTTATGAAGCTCCTCATTATGCAGTTTTCTCCAACCTCCCGTCACTTCATCTCTCTTCGGTCCAAATATTCTCCTCAAAACCCTCAGTCTATGTTCCTCCCTTAATGTCAAAAACCAAGTTTCACACCCATACAGAACCACAGGCAAAATTATAGTTTTCTATATTCTAATTGTGTCCCTTACTGTTACCCCATTTTAATCAAGATCAGACGTGAAGAAATTGTAGTTAACCTCCCAAGTTTCAAATTTAACACAGAATCGTTTTTTTTGGAGGGGGGGTGAGTTGTTACTTGCGGATATATGGGCAGAGATACATAAGAATTTTTGTAGCTATTAATTTCTAACGCTTCAGGTGAAAATTAAGTGCTGTTCGGGATCTCACAAGTTTTCCTAATTTCCATCGAGAGTTACAACATTGAGGCCGTAAAGATTTCCAAATTTTTTAACAATTTTCGCGATCTCTCTCAATAGGGCTATGAAACTGTGACAGGTGTTTAAGACTGAAACGAACAAACACAGACTCCGTTATTTTAGTCCGCAAGCGAACTATACCGACCGAGCGACCGCCGCTTGTCGACGAAATTAGTGCCAACTTTAGCGGATAGGGGGTGTCGCGGGGTCAGCGCAACTGATCCCCACGGCCGTTAATTTCAGTTTTCAAGACCGGGTCGCTACTTTTCCTTCTTAGTTATCCTCACGAGGTTGAGTGGAGCGCTTTCCAGACCCACTACTTCTCAGAAAATCTGGTAGCGCCGGGAATCGAACCCGGACCTCTAGATCTACAGCTGTCCTTAGAAGAAGCCCTGTAACAGGGCCCATTTTTCAGGGCTGCCACTGCAGTTAATGCCATTTCCCAAATAACAGTTTTGTAAATGCAGTTGAATAATCGAGGAACAGAAAGTGTGGGAGCAGCTACACTGAGCCCTCTGGCTGGAACTCTCCGGAACACAACTGCCGCCCCGCAACCCCCTAACCATGACACCGATACACCTTCCCCGAGCCATAGCAACCCCACTTCCCTCCCCTATCTCACCCCACGCAAGGATGCCGTTGCCGCAACAACAAACGCGTTTCAATTTGCACGCTGAAATTTCTTTCCTTTGCTTTTTTCCGTGCTAATGAGATCTTTTGGTGTAACCAACCTTTGGAATCAGTTAACCGTTATTTCTGCAACTTGGATGTCCAGAAGACACGGTTTGGCTGTAGGCTTCGTTAGGGCTGAGAATGGCGAGCGAAACCTGCGATGTTGGCGGTTTGTGGAGTACTTTTTTTTTTATCCGAGGAAATATTAACTACAGCTGAATTCTGTCACGTGACTCCGTCAACTAAAATTGCGACGAGGTTCTCTAGTTAAATAGTGAGAACTAGGATACCCCTCAGGGTGGGCAAGTCAGTCAGGAGAACAGGGACTCGATTCCCGGCAGGAGAACAGATATTTCTCCATGTCACATGCATCCACGTCGGCAATCTCTTCTTCAAAGGGTGCCAGGGTCTCTCTTTGCCCGAGTAGAGCGGTCGGAGGTATAAAAACATAAAAATCAGAATATACTAACTCTAATTTTGCCTGTGGGCCTGTATAGGTATGGAACTTGGACTCTGACATTAAGGGAGGAACATAGACTGAGGGTGTTTGAGAACAGGGTGTTGA